GCTGTGCTTGCTTGCCGGCTGGCGCCCTCACCTCCCCCCACGTAGGCCATTGACCCCTTGTGGAAGTACTTGAAGCCGGGGGCGGCCCGGGGTAGCTCTGCAGGGAGGGCGGCAGGCAGGGGCAGCGGTCGCAGGCGGTCGGTCGGGGGCGGCGGTCGGGGGCGGCCGAAAGGTGCGCATCAGCAGCAGTTGAAGAGACAGGCGCGACCGCACGGGCGGCAGGCCCTGGGCAGGTGGCCAGCTGAGGAGGAGGAGCAGGGGAGAGCAGCAGCAGTGGAGGCTCTGAGCGCCGCTCACCCTCCAGGTCTCCGTCTGCCAGCTTGAAGGCCTCCGCCAGGTACTCGCCCTGCTGCCGCGCCACCTGAGGCCACGGGAGCAGCCAGGGGCAGGAGCAGGGGCTCCGTCAGGCAGCAGCAGCAGCAGCAGGGGTGGGCGGCCAAGCCCGCAGCGCTGCGAGCATGCCGTGGCAGCAGGGCTGGGCAACGCCACAGACAGAAACAGCGCATCCCCCTCACCCCACCCCACCCCACACGCCCGCAACCCACCTGCGCCGTGGCGGGCAGCGCCCGCAGCGAGCTGTCTATGCGCGTCAGTAGCTCGCTGAACTGCTCCCGGCTGAGCGTGGACTGGGGGTCCACCAGGCCCACGCCCTTGTACATCTGCAGGCGGGTGGGGTGGGGTGGGGTGGCAGCCGGGTCACAGTGCCAAGGGGCAGTCGCGGGGTGGGGGCTGGTGGGATTGCAGCCGCGGCCCACAAGCTGGCCCGCATCTACGCCGCCGCCACCCGAGCAGCCGCTCCACCCGGCGCTGCCGCACAGCCGCAGGCCCTAGCAAGGGCCTCGCAGCAAGCCCCACCCACCCGCAGCGGCACCCACCCCACAGGAGCAGCAGCAGCAGCCTCCTGTGGCCGCCCCGGGGCCCACCCAACCACCCACCCACCCACCCACCCACCGTGCTCATGGTCTGGTTGGCCTGCAGGAAGGCATTGAAGACAAGGCCGCCAAACCGCTGGCTGCCCACCTTGCTGCGGCAGGAGCAGGCGGGGCCGGGTGGGATGATGCCTGGCGGTGCATTGGCACCGGGCGCAGCAAGCAGGACACGGGAAGCGAGGCAGGCGCTACAAGGGTCGCGCCAGGCCAACCGGGGGCGCTGAGCAAGGATGCGCAGCCCGTGCTGTGCCCCGCCCAGGCTCGCCGCCGGCCCGGCCCCTCCAGCAGCCGCCAGCTCACCCATCCAGGAAGGTGGCATGCTCCCTGAGGTGCGGGAACTCCTGGCTGGCCTCCCGCATCAGCTGCTGCAGCTCCTCCAGCGTCAGCCGCCCGTCGCTGTGTGTGGCCGCATACTTGTCAAACAGCTCGCTGGCCTGCCGGGCGGGCGTGTGTGTGTGTGTGTCCGTGGTGGGGAGGGGAAGGGGCACAAGCAGGGCGGAAGGAGGTCAGGCCGCACATTCGAGTTAAACAGGCAGCCGTGTGTGGAGACGGCGGGGGCAGGGTGGGGTGTGCTGGGCAGGAGGGAGGGAGGCAGGTGGGGTCCCGCCCGCGCGCACGCCAGCAGGCAGCCTGCCGGCCTGTCGGCTGCGGGGGATAACCAGCTAGTAGCAAAGCGCCCGCCCCGGCCGTGCCCCACCTTCTCCACCGCCTTGTTCTGCTCGATGGTGGCGGCGTCGCCCAGCGCAAACATTGTGCCGTTGGAGCCCTTCACCCGCAGCCACTCGTCGGTCACCGCGGAGCGGAAGTGGGTCTGCAGGAGGAGGCAGGGCGGCAGGGTGGCAGGGAGGGAGGCGGGGGGGCGTGGGAGGGCGGGGTGGCAGGGTGGCAGGGTGGGCAGGGTGGCAGGGGAGGCAGGTGGT